AAGCCAGAGCCAGGCACAGCCAGCCCCCAGAGTCAGCCTGCACTGCTGCCTGTGGCTCCTGCTGCCACCCCAGGGAAGATGACCCAGTGTGCCACCCCCTGCCCTCACCTCCTCTCCCGTCCCCTGCATGATCTCCACCGGGATGGAGTAGATCTTGTTGTGCATCTCCACGCCGCGCCTCATCCCGTTCCTCACACGCACCAGCAGCACACGGAAGTTGGTGCCCCCCAGGTCCAGGGCAAGGAAATCTCCTTTTTCTGAAACACGAGAGAGAATCATGAGGAGAAAGATCCCAGCGAGGAGCATCCTGCACGTGGCACCCAGCTGATGTGAATCTGCCCTCCTGCAAGAGGACCAGAAACCAAGACCTGGCTGGGAATGGAGAACGGTACGTGCAGGTATGAAGGTGGTGGAGAGGTTTGCTCCAGACTTGGGGAGGCCACAGGGCTTCAAGCCAAGGGGCAGGTCCACACCCAAGCCACTGACAGAACTGGGAGCACAGCCCAGAACAATGGTGGTGAGAAACCTGTGGTGGTGAAAGCCCCAGAGAAAGGCAGGCTTTGTGTTAAGTCAGGTGCAGAACATTCTGGAGGCTCAGCTGCTTTTCCCACTATCATACTGGAGGCTAAAAACCTTTGAGCCACTACCACCACTAAGAGGGAACTGGCCACGGCAGGGGTCCCAGCCTGGCCTGGTGCAGTGCAGGTGGGGGAGCAGCAGTGCAGGGGGGGGGAAGCTGGGAATGGAGAATGGTACGTGCAGGTATGAAGGTGGGGGGGACACGTCTCCGGCCGATGGGGGACACACGTCTGCCCGCAGGGGTGCTGCATCACCTGTCCCATCGGGAGTCGAGCACACGTAGGTGGGCAGCATCTTCACCGTGGCCTCTGCGTGCGTCTCCTTGCCCAGCCCCTTCTCCATCTCCATCCGCATCCTTTGTTTCACCTCCAGGAGCTGTTCGTGGCTCAGCTTGAGCGGCTCCAGGATCTTCTGCCGTGCCTTGTGCTGGGCGGCCAGCCTGTAGGCCACCGCCGTCACCATGGCCGCGCCCTTCCCGCTCCCGTCCTCCGAGCGCACGAAGCGGATCTCGCAGTCGGGCAGCAGCTTCCGCACCGTCTTGTGGAGGCGCCGGGCGAAGCTGCAGGGGAGAGAGAGGACCATGGGTGACGACCACCTAGGAGGACCATGGGTGATGACCACCTAGGAGGACCATGGGTGATGACCACCTCAGAGGACCATGTGTCACAACCACCAAAGAGGACCATGGATGACAACCACCAAAGAGGAGCATGGGTGACGGCCACTTAGGAGGACCATGGGTGATGATTGCCTAGGAGGACCATGGGTGATGCAGGGTTGTAAACAACTGGGCCCCCTTTGGGACCCAAACAGAGACTGAAACATCTGGCCATGCCCTGCTCGTGCCGAGCTTCAGCCACTGCCAGCAGGAACCCATTTGAGCTCTCGCCCTGCCCACCAGCCCTGCCCACCAGCCCTGCCCAGCCTCGTGGACTCACTGAGGATGCTTCTTGTAGACGGAGCCGTCCACGCCCACCGTGGACCGCAGGCGCTCCACTCCCTTGTTCTCCTTGATGCGGCGCAGCACGGCCGCCAGGGTGGCCCCGCACAAGTTGGCCGAGCGGGTGGAGACGATCTGGCAGATGCGGTGGGTGGCCACACAATCCTCATGAGACGGCTCCAGACCCAGCTTGGTGAGGATCTCATGGGCCTTCTGCAGCCCTTCTTTCTCCCTGCACATCAAAGAACAAAAAAGGATTCATGCCTGGAAATCCAGCTTTAGCCATCTGAAGTGTCCTGGTTTGCTCGGCAGACAGCCTTGTGGTGGGTCCTGTTTTAGGTGGGCTGGGACCCCAGGAAACCATCTGGATCCTGCTTACTTCTCAATAGCGGAGACATATCTGGTCTCAAAGTGGCCGGTAGTGAGCAGATCCGGTGTGAGCCTTCCTCCAAACAAGAGCCCTTCCTTGGCCATCTTCACCAGGATGAGTCTGACCAGCTCTCCCATGTACATCCCACTGATCATCTTCTCAAACCTGCCAATGGGGGAAGCACAAGATCTGTTTTGCTGCACGTGCCATGGGGTAGTCACAGGTTGACCTTAAAAACAGCTGGCAGCCAGGCCCAAATGCAATCGAAGTAATCTCTTTCCAGAGTAATCTCTTCCTCCCACCACTGAGAAAATAAAGCCATGCTGGCACAACCACCATTCTTCAAGGAGAACCTACAACTACCTGCAGGTCTGTCAGTTTGCAGAGACCTCCCCCCACATCCCACCCATGCTGCCAGAAGCCATCTGGGGAATGGGAGGTCTGTAGGGCTTGGCTGTGGACATTAGGTGGTGGCGTTGCCCTTGGCTGGCCCATAATGTCACTGGCCGGGGGGAGGGGGGCTCTGCACTGCGGTGAACGGCTGGCGAGGGGAGCGGGCGGCGGGCGCGTCGGTTGGGCCAACCCAAACCTGTGAGGCAGCCCCTGCTTGCCCCTCGTGGCTGGCACAGCAGAGGACACGGTGACCTAGTTAACCAGGATGACCTCTTCGGCCCCTGTGCCGCCGCGCGGGGGAAGGACAATGCAGCGCGAGCCTCGAGCCTGCGCCAAGAATCCGCTCACAGCTGTTTGCCGGGGTTGAGCGAGCCCATGTCGATCTCGCGGTCGAACTCCGTGCGGATGTCGTTGAGGACGCCGTCGTCGCCAAACGCCCCCCACTCCATGTTGATGCACATCCGCCCTTCGTCCCCCTCCACCAGGTCAATGTGTCTCATCTCCTCCATGTAGCAGGCGTTGGTACCGGTACCTTAACCAAGCACGGGGAGGTGGTGAGAGAGGACTCTGCCCTTCCCGTATTCCCCATAATGAGCAACAGCCAAACGTCCCACAGAAAGTGAAGATGGAGGAAAACAAACATTGGGCAATGCTGGTTTTCTAGAGCCGCTATTCCCTTTCTTTTCCCTCCCAAAAGACCCTGAAACCTGCAAGAAATATGATCTCATGGAGAGATGGACCCCAATTCTTCTCCCTTGCTCACCAACAATGAGGCCAACTTCACAGTTATGATCATCATAGCCACAGGTCATCATGGTGCCAACGGTGTCATTCACCACAGCCACGATGTCTATGTCAAAGTCCTGAGATGGTGGAGAGGAGAGAGATTGAGTCAGTGTGGCCAAACCAGACCAACACATCTCTGCTGTCATGGGGGAGCTGAGGTGTGGAGCCTTAAGTATCCCATGCAAGGACACCCCCCCAGCCCAGGAGGTGACGGACTGGCCCAGCCTCTTACCCCTCTTTTCTTGATGGACTTGCGCAGCATCGACACCACATCCTTCCCCTCCACGCTGCTGCATTTGAACCCCTTTGTCCATGTCACGAGGATGCTCTGCGGAGAAACGGCAAAAGGAATGCTCAGAGGACAGACACACCACGCCACAGGGCTCCAGGGCAAGTTATGGCGCGGGGGGCAGACACGCCAAGCGACAGGGCTCCAGGGCTCCCCAGCGCCAGGCGAGGGCCAGAGGGACGCACAGCTCAGCCAGTGCCCCGTTATCAGCTCGCCAGCTGCTATCAGCAATGGTTTCCCTGTCTCCGTGGGGAGCCGCTCGCTGCTGCCAGGAGCCAGCGTGAGTCCCGTGACTGCGTTTTGTGGATGCCTGGAGCAAAACCTGCTCCTGAGCCTGCAGAGAGCTCCTTGAGCCACTGCTGTAGGGTGGGGGTCTCGCTGTCCCCGTGGCCGGAGGCACCAGGTGGCCCCACCCAGCAGAGCTGCCCCATTCACCTGGCTGGAGGCCGAGCTGAGCCTGGGGGGAAGGGAAAGGACTCGACTGCATTGGCAGCCTCCAGCCCTAGAGTCCCGGATGCCTTGGCGAGGTGAACGCCTGCCCTGCACTGAGGCACAGAGAGAACCAAAGTGCCTGTGGTAACCATGGGCAGATGCTTCCTCTACCAGCCTTTTTGGTTTTCATTTTCTTCCTCCTAGCCCCACATCTACCCGAGGAAAGCATTACTCCTCCTCCTCGTGA